TCGAATCACTTGAGGATATCAGTTCTGAGGGCAGATGGTCTTAATGAAATGAAAGAAAAAAAAAAGAAAAAGAAAAAAAAAAGCATGTTTCAGAGTATTTGCTGAATAATCAGCTCATGCAGCTCTGTGTCATGAATATGCAGCTGGCTGGAACAGCAGGCCCCCCCCCCACCCTGGCCTGACACCAGATACCCTCAGACGGCCGAGGATCTGAAAGACGTTGTGAGGCAGAACTGATTTCAACTGGCAACTGTGCCGGGTATCATATGATAAGGTCAGACACTGTTCCTTTGTGGGAGTTTTATTCTGTTTTTTTAATTGGATAATGTCACATCCACAAGTCTTCATGAAGGTACAAGCACTAATCAGATGAGATGACTCTTTCCGTCCTAAAGCCTTCCACTGCCATGATGTCCAAGTTATATCCAAAGACGCCCCGGAGCAAATTTGTATAGTGCACCGCAGGTGTTCCAGTGAAGATGGAGGGCTGAATAGTTACATTTTTATGGCTCTCATGGCCTCCAGTCAAGCCCAGACACAGCAGGTATGAGGTTGGGATACCTCTGCTGTACAGGGATAATCACATCTACCCCAAGGCCCAGGCGGTCGCAGGTTCTGCTTGTAATTCAATAGCAAGAACTTGCTACCTGATAACCATCAACTCACATCTGTATCTGTAAATGTTCCTGACAACATAATCTATACTCTTTATTTCCAGGGGGGATGTATGGGAGAAGATCCTGACAATGCTATAACACACCACATTCCAGACCGTGCTGCACCGAACAGCCTTCCTCCTCCTCGTCTTTGTAAACTTTATGGAGAAACCGCAGCTGCCTTTGTAGTAAAGACACCACACAGTGCAAGAAACACTTATCTTACTAAGTCATTTCTTCTGAGACAGAGTTAAAGATTCCTGTCATTTTCAAAAAAGTGACAAAAATCTGCCACAGTTCAGCTTTTTGAAAACCCAAGCTTCTTGTAATAATGTAGATGGAGGCGTCTCATTTTCTGTAAAACCACTATTTCCATCTTCTGAGTCTATGACAGTGCAGCATACACGACATGTACTGGGAACCCACTGTCTCTATGTAATTATCCTAAATTAAAAATAGCGCTCTGTATCCTGCGTGCAGAGGACTACAATTGAAAAACAAGACAGCTTTACATTGTGTAGCTCTGACTTGGCAGTGCATTCCTTTGTTATGTGGCTGCTCTCTTGCAGCTTTATATAGTATTTGAAGCAACAATATGACCTTTACCCCAGATGGAGCAGGAGAGGGACGGTGTAGGTTTATCTGAAAGCAATTTAAAAATCCTTTAAAGCTGACAGGCTGGTTTAATGCCTGAAACGTGAGATGCCTTCAATGTGCATTCAAGCTACGCGACATCAAAACACAGAGGTTACCTCTCGGACGTAAAGAAAAAAATATATATATACCTGCTTTTATTTACGCATGATCTCACCCTACGTATCCTGGGCATCTTTGTGGAGCACCTCCTCATAAATTAACCCTTGATTATCATGAATTAACCCAGTCTACAAGATACAATCGAGCACATCAACAGTGCCTAGGTGACCATAGTGACTATGACCATTTGAAGTCAGGAGAAAAATAAACCACAACACTGACTGCTGTGAGTTTTAAAGACCAACAGAGGTTGCTGCCACTGCCATTTTTGTTGATCTTAGTGTTAACAACAACCTCCTCCCATGTTGCCATGTTTGTTATGTTTGCTATGTGCGTAATCAGAGGGTTCTCAAGTTAACCACCCCTTGTTGGCCAGGGATGATTTGGTCCTAATTTTCCATTTGAATCCTCCAGGAACACATAAAGTGTAGTAAACAGTTAAGTCTATGAACAATGCTACTCACAGCACAGCCACTTATCTTGGGCTGCGGCCGAAAAGTATAAATAATCTCCTTTCCTGGCCACTTTTCTTCAACGTCATCAGGCCAAGGAAAGATGTGAAGGAGAATTCATAGGCACTAAGGGCTGACAGAATCCGACTGCACTTACACTTTTTTTTTTTTTTTTATAAACTTTGTTTATAACCAATACTCAGACATAAGCATATAGAGTTTCCCGGCCAATCATGCAAGGATTTCCATTTTGGATTGTGTCACAAGCGTAAAACAGGTGCTCTGTTGTTTCTACATTTACATAGGTCCGCTGTGGTGAAACAACAACGGTGCGTCGCTATAAAAGTTGTTGCAGCAAGGAATTATGGGACGGCATTATCTCCTTTCCTTTTGTAAAGCAATGTCCAGTGTTTCCAATGCAAAAGGAGATATATATATATGGAAGCACTGAGCATTGGGTCATTTCACTCAGTTAGGAACCTTCCTAAGCAAAAAAAGATTTTTCAACCGCAGCGTTGATGTAAACAGCGAGTAAAATACTAAACTCAACATGAAAACATATCAGTCATTTTCTTTGGAATCATCTTTATCAGTAGATTTACTTGCAGAGACAAAATAAATCCACCAGATGCTTTTACACAGAATTCAACCTAAGTGAGCTTTAACATGAGAATCTGTTGGAAAACATTGACTATAGCCAATGAAATGTCTGGTAAGTGAGTGAACGTGCCATCTTGCTAACTGATAGTTAGCAAGCCACAACCTATTGTAGCCATAGCACAAACCACAAGTAGTGACTATTGGATCTTTTCCACTACAGGAACATACACACCCGCAACTAAACTTGTACCTGCTGTCCTGGGTTCTGCTTTTGTTTCCACTGTCCTCCACCCACTATGGAGCCAAGATCCTGAAGCTTTCAAGAAGTGGTACTAAATCAAGATCAAGGTATTTGCTGGGGGTGGGGGTGGGGGTGGGGGTGCTTGGAAGACTCTGACTGGTCAAGCAGCCGTCACTTATGATTGGTCAAACAGATGTGGTATTATATTTCAACTACAACACACAGCAACATGGCAGTAACCACCATTTGACTTCTGTGTGTATATGGACAAGGACTTTTTCAACTTTTTAGGTTGAAGACCAACAAGAGAGTGCACGTAAAAATGACATTGTCTATCCCGCCGTCGCCTTCTCAATGACGTACATCCGATCCTTCCAAGTTTGTAAAATAGAGTGGAAAAGCAGGGCATCCCTGCTCACCTCTGGTCTACAAATTCTCAAAACACTTGGATTAAGGGAAGCTCCGGGTTCTGAGTCATGAAGTTCCTCTAGCCGAGTGCTGCACTACTTTCTGTCAGAACTGTTCTGTTTCCACAACAAACAGTTTCATAGCAGTAAAAGAACAGGTTTAACTAATAACATCAATGATGGCTCTGTTGAAGTGTTTATTCAAGTTTCCATTTAAGCCGCAATCCCAGTGAGCCAGCATGTACAACATCACATTGACACTGACATGCCTGGATGCAATGCAGCCATTGTTAATGTCGTACACCAGTTTTTCCTTATGTCTAAATGTCTGCTGTGAAGAAGCCCTCTCCTTATGAGCTACTGTCAATGGCCAAATGTTTAACAAGTTGCGATATTTCCAGTGCAGATACAACAGACTTTAAAATTATATCACATTTAAAGTCAGCTTTTCTAAATAAATTCAGAGTTTCTCCAACAAAATCCCAGCGAAAGTGATGTGTGAAAGGACTCTTTAGAACGGGGGGGTGGGGGGGGGGGCACACACAACCAGCTACTGTAAATGAAACATCACCACCAAACACTCCTGGAATGCATCAAACATGGCAGACTGAACAGTGTACCACCATTCAAGGGACTCAAGGTTTTCTCTTTAACCCTGAATGCTTCCAATAGACCCCAAAAATGATACTTTAGTAGTGTAGTGGCATGTTTCAAGCAAGTACTTCTCGGAGTTATGATAGTATGGAATCCTCCAGCTGGTCCCAATAACTCTGGACAGCATCACACACATCCAGCACTGACTGACCTCTCTCTTAAAAATCCTCCTCACAGCATTGGCTATATATGCTTTTTTGGCCCATGATACGACTGGGCATGTCTGAATGAGGCCATTGTATGTGGCAAAGAGGGCCCTGCAAGAGGTGGAAACAGATCTCAGTGAGGGCCAACCCCGCTACCAGCCAGCTGCAACTTCTCCCAGCCTTCCTCCACGTAGCAGAGGAAACACTCGACTAATCAGTTTGGTAATGAAACTGTTCCTCGAACAAGATCTGCGGCTCTCTGGGAAATACAGACACAGGGTGGGAGTGGGGAGAGAGAGAACCGGACATGATGGTACAGAGGGAGGACATACTGTGATGACTGACTGAAAATATTCAGTAAGACAGACACCAATCCCCTAATCACCTATACATCCTTTTTTTTTTTCCAATTCAAGTGATAACTGTGCTGGATCATCCACTATACCCTACAATAGTGACAGTAAACGACATGAATGGGTTTGATTATTCAGACAAGTGGACATAACGTAAGCAAACCTAAACATGAGACCAGCTGATCTGCTGCAGTGTAAACTCCTGAGCTCAAACCAACAGGCCACACAACACAGACAGTAGAAATCATTTTGGTACCATATATACAATTGTTTGTAATAGCCTAAAATATGTTTTAAATGAACGGATTCTGTGTACAAAAACATATGAACTGTTAAAGCAGAATTATTCCTTATGGCTCTTTAATATTTAAATTCTATGAAACTTTAATTGTGTTTTCACAATTTTCTGCTGGAGCTAAAAATGTATTTTGTTGTTAATAAATGGGAAAGACTTAAAGATTATATTATACTTTTTGGCGGGGGGGGGGTGATAATTAATGGAATGAATTGTAATATTTGACTTAATTTAATGTAGTTTAATGAAGACTTGCTCTTATTCATTTATAATAATATAAAATTTCTATTTTTAGTTAGTTATACTATATAAAAAGGGGAAAATTAGATTTTTTAAAACTATAAATGCAATTATATGTAACAATATTTGTCAACCCAGGAAAAGGGGTGGAGGCAGGTTAAAAATTAAATAAATAATAACAACAAATAAATTGTGCTTACCTGGCTTCAGATTGCTGTTAAAGTAGAAGATGACCATAATGAAACAGCCCAGAAACAAGGCGAAAACCATCCGAATGACTTTGGGTTTCCTCATCCTGAGACTCTGGGAACGACCAAGGAGCCGAACCGACTCCTGCCAGGGCTCATGCAAAGAAGAGGCGGTTTTTTGTTCTGGCGTCGGTGTTTTACTTTATCACCGATAAGAGCATCGATCCGGCTCGCTGACCTTTGCTGCTGCTTATTTTTCTGTACATCCTTGCATGTCCAGCCTGGAAAGTCTCCGCAGGGAGGAGGGGAAAGGACGGAATGAGAGCAGCCTGGCTGCAGACTCGTGTCTCCGTTACAGTACCGGCCCTGAGGGCTGGTGTAGAGGAAGTGGATCAGGCCGGTGCAGTCCGCGCACAGGCCGCCGCGCTGTTTGTGTAAGGGAGGATTTATACTTACTCGTTAACCCCTTTCTCCCCAAACACCGGTTGGCAGCGCCTTAACAAACTGTGGTCGAGCTGGATAACTTTTTATAACATTTCCGGTAAGACCTTTCAAAATAAAATTCCCACACGGTGGCTCCAGGTAATATCAGTCCAAATGAGTGGGCAGAAACCGTAAGAATATAAACCTTTAATCTTGCTGTGTTAATAAAAAAAAATCACATACAAATAAATAGACTCCACGCAGGAACAGTGAAACCAGAAAAAAAAGGTTCGATTTCACAAACACCATTGTACTGAGACTTGTCACTATATCTTAATCTGAAAAAATCTATTCATTTTCTATTTAAAAAACTGGAATAAGGATAATGACCTAGACCCTAAATGAAATCATTTAAGATTATTCAAATTATTATAAAGTGAATGAAATGGACAGAGGTGGGAAATAATCAGGCATATTTAATCATATAGGCTACTACACTACAGTGTTGATGTATACTTAGTGTTTCCATTTTATACTGATATACTATAGTTCTACATTATGGAAGGAAATATTGTACTTTTCCTCCACTAGCAGTTAGCAATAATATCTATCTATCTATCTATCTATCTAATATGATTCAGTGTGTAGATTAAGCTACCCCAACAGTATATTCATTTTAAGGTACAGTTTTTCGATACAGTATTCAAATCTACTAAGCCTTTTTTCACATTTTTATTGTAAATATTTTATTGTAAATTTTGATTCTGATTTAAATAAAGGACCTTTAAATACTTGTTCTCTACTGGTAATGGATGGTCATGAACACATAGGTTTGGATATATAGTGTACTGTATAATGCAGGGCTAAAGTTAAATTACAGCTTAGGTTAAACAACTTCCTAAAGTTTTCCATGTAGAACTGGGGCTCCAAGACGCAATTTGCTGCTTTTATTTTGAAGCCAAGATGAGCACATATCCGCTGATGTTCGGTGTGTCTCTAGTTGTCTTTACACAGCTTTAGTGTTGCAAACAGCCATGTTAGCCCAAAATGTGACAAACTGATGGAGTGGTCTGTAGTAACATCTGCTGTTGACTTCTCCTCTCATCTTCTCTACACCACTCCATTAGTCACTGTTAAATCAATTTCTCATGTGACGGACTTTTATTTATTTCATTTTGTATAATGAATAATTTATCTCTTGTCCTCCTGTTGGATTGGCCGGACTCCTCAGTAAACTGTGATGGTGCAACACTCACAAAGTTCAAAGTTCAGGTCACTGTAAAGATATATTGATCACCACATCCTGATGGAAATTCTACAGGAATGTTAGATTTATTAGTATTTTCATTAGGGTGGCATGTTTACTAAATCACCCTTTAATGCATTATACATATACAGGAGCAAAAGTGTTCCATGAGGGCAAAACATGATTTTAAATTCCTTGATCCATGATGTCATAAGTGAAATTAAATGTTGTGTTAAATGTCTCATGATGACTGTGCAGTGCAGATGTTTTCGTGATTCGCTCAACAAATAAAGTCCTGAATCTGATTAGACTTTAATGATGACGCACTTCTGCTACAAGATTTTGCCAAGCTATCTGCATGATATTTCTTGTGTCGCCACAGTGACACTCCGCTATAACCTGAACTGTCAGTCAAGGATTACACAGGCAGTTCTGGTCTTGTGTCAAGAAAGAAGATCACTTGAGTCTGATGGAACAAATTTCAACCAAACCATAATCTCTTGATCCACGTTGGAACTTTGGCTCCTGTACAACGTGTTGAGCATCAGTAAATATGAGTCTAGGATAAAAAAATAAAAAAAGTAACTCATGAAATACAGAAATGCCTTTGACACACATCGTATCTGATGGGGGCATCGCGGGGAGTATAACCTCAAAAGGAGAGAGCACATGACTGCAGCGAGGCCTTCAGAGTTGGACTTTAATCCGGTGTGTGATACAACTGCTCCCATTTTGAACCTACAGGCCCAGAAGGGGGTGAACCAGTCAGTGTTTTGTAGCGCCATCCATCTCCAGACAGAATCCCAGGTTTAGCTAATTAGGGCAGGGAGGACTTCCTGCTGAGTTGCTTTTGACCCTTGACCTTCCCCCGCATTCCTCATGTCCATCTTCTAGGCATCATGGATCAGATCCCTGGGAGAAGTCAGGATGGGTTAGGAGCCACGCGACTGATCAAACCCCGGGCCTGATGGTAAGGCGGTGTGAAGCCTGTCAGTGTTTACTGTCTGAGAATGGAATGATGGGTGATCTTCGGTGGGGTTAGGACCGGCCAGGAGTCAGCGTACATTCCCCCAGCGACTGACCAATCAAGCGAGAGGTGTCAAGCAGAGTCAACACATGGTCAAAGGTTAGAGAAGCAGGTTTGGCACGGAAACCTGCCAGTTTAAATCTGGTCACTGAGGAAAGTGATAAACAAGAATAAGCAACTTTCTTTTCCTACCAACCTACCAAGCAAAGACTCAGGGGTCCAAAGGGTCTGGGGGCCCCCCCTGGGCTGTACCTTCAAAATCCCCACAAGGAGAATCACAAAGAGACAAAAAACAATCACAATGAGAGGCAAAACAACCACAACATAACCACAAAGCGACACAAAATGACTACAAACAGATGAAAAATGAGTCTTGAGCAAGTCTTACATTCCCCACTGCTGATTAGCTGAAGACTTGTGGAAAAAGAGCGAGGAGCTGAGTTGTGCTGACAGATAAATGAGGTTATAAAATCTCTACACACTCAACATGAAATTGACTCAAAAAACTATTGGGAGATTCTGGATGAAGAAGTCTTTTCAACTTAAAAGCGAAACAATTTGGCTGAAGAAACAAACATAAGAAAAAAAATGAATGACGACAAGAAAGAGATTAAATGGCTTTTAACAGTAAAAAAGGGAAAATTCTACGAAAGCTCTATAACAAACAAGTTGATCACTCGAATCTTAATGATGTCAAAGTAAGAAATAACTTTTTAAAACTACAATTATTAATTTTGAATTATTTATTTAAGATTGTTATACAAATGTCCTTTTAAATGATGCTAAGTAAAAAAAAAAGCTAATTTCCATGATCTGAAAATGGAGTCAATTCGTTTTAAAGAAATTCTCCTCATGTCTAAAACTTCAGTTTACATACTCCTCGATGAGGCAGCGAGCCAGTTTAATTCTGTTTGTCAGTGAAGGAAAGCAGGCGTGCTACTTTTCCAAATGACAATCACTCATCAAACACAGTTCAACCCGATGTATTTGTCTTTAGATTGAAAAGAAAAATCAGGTATTCAGGTATTTGGGAATCATAGTCACAACCTTCCTTAAAAGTAAAGAAAATGACATTTAAACCAGCGCCAGAGTCATCAGACACAATTTGACTAGAGGTAGAAAAATAATTTATCAATACAATGATTCTTCGTGTTTGACAGGTTGCAGAACTTGTCTAGTAAGATATTCAAACAACCCTATGATCCATTAGTATCCATAAGTATGATCCATTAACTTGGAAAAGTTTGCATATACACTTCATATATAAAAATACTTGATGGTTTTGCTCCTTCCATTCCACCATACAGGAGGGGGAAGTAGAGCTGCTGTTAGATGTGACTGCATCGATACCAGTAAGGAAGAGTTTATTTTGCCAGTTGGCCCCGTCATCTTGAGTTTACATGACTGCAATGCAACTCAATTCAAAGACTTAATAAATTGTTTTTTTTACTAGAAAATCTGAAATTTTCATTACTAGTGAAACAACAGTGTTAGCATGATATTTAACAACATTTTCTTCCTGCTCTGTCTATGAGTGTCTAGTGAATTTGAAATCTGTGTGATGGTTTCCTTGTGTACCTGCTTTGTTCTTTTAAGCCACATGAGCAGCATGTTTCTCCGACTGAGATATCTCAACAACTATTAGATATTAGATAGATATTAGATATTATTAGATATATTGCCAAGAAATATTGACATTCATGATGCCCAGAGGATAAATCCTTATAATTCTTCTGCAATCATCAAGTCAAATTTTCTATTTATCCACGACTTTTGCCACACTCGCACCATGTCAGCAGACTGAGATAGATAGTAAGAGCTGCCACACTGACACTGGCACATGTTTTTTAGTTGCTAAATCAATCGTAAATTATTGGTCATTATATCAGGTTTTATTTATATAGTAGTGGCTAACGTAGCCTTGAGCTTCTTGCCCTATGAGTGGCAACCTCCGTGCTGAAAAATGAAGCCAACACTGAAGTGCTAAAAACTGCAGTTCCTCTAATGACCACTTGAGGTCAGTTCCAACAGTGAGTCAGTCCCCATTGACTCCCATGTTAAAATGCTCAACTTTACAGCAGAAATAAACATGTTTACAACCTGGTTCAAAAAACAGGTTTGGTCTCTATAGCTAATTTCCTCCTTCATGACAACTGTACAGGGGTGAACTTTTATTCTTTTTTATGTTATTTTTGGGGCATTTTTGCTTTTATTGTTATAGGACAGTGAGAGATAGACAGGAAAGTCAGGGAGAGAGAGAGGGGAAGACATGCAGCAAAAGGTCATGGGTCAGACTCCAACCCATGGCCGCTGCAGTTAGGACTAAGGCTATGTGGTACTCATCTGTTTAAATTTTATTAAGGCTTAAAGCTATGTATAATTGAGGGTGTGTTGCTTTGAGTGACAGGTGGGTGAGTGTATGCTTGCCACAAACCAGCATTCACCAAAGTCTTGGCTCCATACACGCCCCACTTCTTTGCCCATTTTTGGATTTGCTGGGAGTTAGGGGCGGAGTCAGGCACTGCCAAGATGGTGCGGAGCAACCCACTCTGAGCTTCAAAACCTCTCTTCAGATACCTATGGTTGATGTCACAGAGTCTACGTCCATCTTTATATACAGTCTATGTGCTGGCTCTGATAAGATCACTTCTGTTTAACACCAAAACTCCCAGATT